CCGCGCGCCTCGGGAAGCTCCGGTGCCCGCGCTCGAGCGGCAGGAAAAGGGAAGGAAGCGGCGCCGAGCGCGGCGTTTGTGCGGGGAAACGCGGCCCCGAGTCCCTGTTTGCGGGCTGCTGGTGACAGGAAAACTTTGAGGGCAGCAAAGTGTCCCCGCGCGCGCTGCTCTCAACGCGCCCTCCCTGGCGCCGTTTTAAAGCGCGTCCCGCATGGTCCGGGCACCTAAACGAATTAACTGAGTTTGCGATTCCGTAAACTAAAGGGCTGGGTTAACAGCGCTCTGGAAAAATAAATATTACGAGCATAAAGCCGTAAAGCTGCTGGGGTTTGTCGGCTCGTTAACTGTCCCGCGGCTTCGCCGCTGAAGAGGAGCCGCGTGCGAGCCGCCTTTGAAAAAAAAAACCCAAAAAACAAAAAACTTTCTCTTCGTTTTCCAGTCGTATATTTAAGGTTTTTTCCCCCCTCTAGCTCAGAATAGCCGCAGGAAAATTGAGTTATTCACGTAAGCCCTAATCGCACGCGCTGTCTCTGCCTTTTGCAGTGTCTCAGTTTAAAATGGTGAATTACTCCTACGACGAGGACCTGGAGGAGCTGTGTCCCGTCTGCGGCGACAAAGTGTCCGGCTACCACTACGGGCTCCTCACCTGCGAGAGCTGCAAGGTTCTGTTCCCATTCCTTCCCCGGGCAGGGCATAGCCAGAAAAGTTTCAAATAGAGACAGAATAAAAAGGAGACTCAAGAAAATAGAGATGTGCAATAATTTAACTTACTTCTGATCTGTTTGTTGTTACGTTCACTTATAAAATTAGCCTCCCCAAAGCTTTAGTATTTGGGATTCACTTGGGGAGGAATCTTATTTGTACAGACAGAAGAAACAAGGCAAGCTGCTTTGCATGAGAGCTTTGTCATTGCTTTGAAGTATTTTGCTGTTGCAAAGTGCTGTAGTTACAGAACAGCTTCCATTCTTACCTATCCTAAACATCAGTCTTAGCTGGTTTATATACATTCTGTTTCTGCAGCATAAAGTGAAAAATTATCACTGATACAGATGAGCTTTGCAAAATCTCCTGCAGGTTTCTGGAGAAGATTTTACCTCTGTCCATATCAGACTGCACATTTCTGCGCCCGTGGTGACTTTGCACTTTTTCCCCCCTACAAACAATATATGCATGACAAACCAATTAAGTGACTATGTATGAGTCCTTTTAAATTGTTCATTCATTTTGAGACCAAAATAATCAGAAATGCTGTTTATTGTATTGGAAGGGAAATTGATAACTATTTAAATGCCAAAGTACGATAGTGCCACGCAGATAAATTTATGGCGTTTGCCAAATACCTTATGATTAAAAAAATCTCTTGGTGCTCTAAGCAATGCACTGTAAAGGAAACACCTTTAGCAGAGAAACATGATTTAAAATATTTAGCGCATGGAAAATAAATAACTTCGCACATGATATTTTCATGAAAAAAATAATCAATGAGAAGTGGCTAACAAGCACTTATTATGCTTCTAACATGCACCAAGGGGACATAGAGTAGCTAGAGGTGTTCTGTATTTCCATTTTCCTCGCAGCACCATTCCCATTTATTCCACATAAAGTTACATTAAAAGGAACACTTTGATTTTCATTTTATGATTATTAAAGGGAGGAACTGGTCAGCTTTGCTATTTCTGCTACCGCTGTTAAGGACACGGGAGACTTGAGCCAATTTTACCAAGCTTGGACATAAGTCTATAAAACACAGTGTTAAAATGAGAAAACTTCTAGAGCCTGGCAGTTTTCTCCTGGCTCACTGTAATTTAAAATAAACTCTGTAACTTCATAATTACTTAAGTGGTGTCAGAAAGATATTTGACAATGACTTCCATGAAATAAAATGTCGAAGCCCACTGTTAACCAGGCTGACTTTTGTATCCACACAGGGTTTCTTTAAGCGAACAGTGCAGAACAACAAAAGGTACACATGTATAGAAAACCAGAATTGCCAGATTGACAAAACACAGAGAAAACGATGCCCTTACTGTCGGTTTCAAAAGTGTCTAAGTGTTGGAATGAAATTAGAAGGTAAGAGCCATGGTCTTCCTGATATTATCAACTATCCAATATCCAGTTAATTTCTGAAAATCCAATTGGTTAATGTATGTTATTATATGACATATACTATTTTACACAATTTTGCTACACATTTCTGACTTTGATATTGTAGTAGAAGGTGACTTTGTGTATGTTTATTATTGCTTTTCAAAAAATTCTCTTAAGTGGTAAATCACTAAAGACTAGTCAAAACCACAAACCAATTTTACATATGTGTATATATAATATAATAGTTTCAATAATTTAGAGTCTGTGCATGAAGGGATCTAGCCAGCATGGAAATTAGTTTTGCAGCTTTTTAATAACAGACTTAATTTAGATTAAATGCAAAATATCTAAGCAGTGTCCAAATTAGAAAAAAAAAAAGTAGCTGTAATTAAATGCAGGTCTTTGTCATGCAGTCTGATTTTATTTCTACTTAATTAAGGGATTTTTTTTAACGTTCTTCTGACAATAAGCCAAAGAAGACAGATAAACAAAAACAGATAAAATACAGGTTTTCCTCACACTGACTTGCCTTTGGGAATAAGGAACCAAATGATCTCTAAAGTTTTGACCTTTATTTTTCTGAGGGGTTTTAAGACCTGAAAGAGAATTATGCATTTTTGAGTCTATTTTTGGCAGTACTATGCTCCCTTCTATACAAAGGGCACTAAGAAAAGTACCATTCCCTTTGCCTTAACAGACAGCAAAACTGTCAGTAAGAGACAAATATAAGAACCATACTGGTTATACATAAAGCGTTCCGACTTTGATATAACTCAGACTTCACAGCAAATGGCATTATTGCTTCACTAAGGGCACTAGATCAGAAATCTACATTCCTTATTCTTATAATTGGACTGAAATGGCATTCACTTAGCCAGGAAGGACTGGGCCAAAAGCTAATCACAAAGGAGAAGGGCCACTCGCTTGAGTTGGGCAGGGAAATCTGTTGATATATCTGAATTTAAACAACCAGATCAGCCTCCCACTGTCTGGTGAATTCAGTGCTATCCTAATGGCCCACAAGACCCAGCGAGCACTGATACACCATTCTGAGCATCCTGAATTCCTGCATATTCTTCCAAATTCAAACAAAAGACATTTGGAATCCTCTTCCCATTGCTGAGATTAAGAACATGGGTAGAATACATGTGTGTTCTACTTTTAACTCCTCTCAATCACTAGCCATGAGAGGGGACCAATTTTTGTGTCTCTGTGATACCCACAGTTCACTTTTGATTTCTACAGCATTTATAAAAAGTATTTGCCGAAATAATTTGGCTTATAGTTTTTAAATGTAGAATACTTGAAAAGATAGTATGTATGTTGCTTTAAAGGTAATTACATTTAGCATCAATATTCAGCAGCTTGTTGATATTTTTTCCCTGCATTTTGCTCAAAAACATTAGCAGTAATATTAGCAACAAGATTTTTTTTACTACAAATGTAAGTAAAGTATTTGTAGTTTTAAAGATACTCTAAAAAATGTTATCTGTTGTAGGTCACATCTGTGCAACTTCCCTTCTCTAGCTAGCAAATTGAAGGAGCACAAGATTTCACAATTGTAAATGTTTCTGACATTTATATGTATATTTCCCTGATAGTGATATACACAGGCTGAAAATCTAATTCATAAATTAACATGGACCAAAAAAAAAATCACTAAACGATAAAGTCCTTATGATAATGTACAGTATAACAGGTACCTCGCATTCATAATAAATTTTTAATGTTATACTAATCCCTAAGATAAAAAGCTCAAGAACTTAACCTCCAGCAATCTCAGCAGTCTCAACATGTCACCAGGCTGTCAAAAGTTCCTCTTTCAACCTAATTGCCACTGGGCAAGGTGGGCTTGGTGAGAGCTACGCACTGGTCCATTAGCTCCACACCACGGTGACAGGCACTGCTGTGACAGAGACCACCAGTATGACTCCCAAGACAGCTGTTGAGGTGGATTTGTTTTAATTATTTCTAATTCCGGGGATATTGCAAGCCAGGGCAGTGTCAATAGTTTCTGTGTCACTCCCACCTTGTGTGGGAAGGCAGCAAGCTGACAGCTTTTCCCGGGCGCCTTCCAACTGCAGCTAAACATTTCTGTAGCTGGTCACCTAACCAGGAACTTCCTAAGTTTCCTGCACCAACCTGAGCAGAACCATTCAAAGGAAATATTTCCTTTCTGCCAAGAAAACCTTATTCCCCTTTATGACTACTGAATGTTTCGCAATTGACGTTTCAGATGTTTTGCCGCGGTGGGAGGCAGTAATGGAATGATAAAAATGAGCCAGTGTGGTCCCGCTGGATACGTCTCAGACAAATTCTGGACATCAGCCCTTGTTTCTAATGATATATTAGCTTGACAGAAAACCAAACATTGAGATCTCAACATGATCCCGTGGCAGGTGTGAAATTCCTGTAGCCAACCATTGTGTTTGTTCCTGTGTCCTAATCAATGTAAACAGCAGTCCTTCCATACTAGTAATATGCAAGAGGTACTTAAAAATACCAGTGAAAACTAATGTTTGTTAAATCAAAACAAATCTTTTTCTCTAGGAGTAAAAGTGCTATTTTGAATTTAAAGAACAAAGGAAACACATCAGGAAAACATGGAAATGTACAAAAATGCATGTTCTGCTCAGGAATGTTCAGTTCTCACATTCTGATTTCGCTGTTCTCCCTCCTCTGCCCTGACAGCTGTGCGAGCTGACCGAATGCGCGGCGGGCGAAACAAGTTTGGACCAATGTACAAGAGAGACAGGGCCCTGAAGCAGCAGAAGAAAGCCCTCATCCGAGCAAACGGACTCAAACTGGAAGCCATGACTCAGGTGATCCAAGCGATGCCCACCGACCTGACAATATCCTCGGCGATCCAGAACATCCATTCTGCCTCCAAAGGCCTACCTCTGAACCACACTGCCTTGCCTCCCACAGACTATGACAGGAGCCCCTTCGTAACCTCCCCGATCAGCATGACCATGCCGCCCCACGGCAGCTTGCAAGGTTACCAAACCTACGGCCATTTCCCAAGCCGCGCCATCAAGTCCGAGTACCCCGACCCTTACACTAGCTCCCCAGAGTCCATAATGGGCTACTCCTACATGGATAGTTATCAAACGAGCTCACCAGCCAGCATCCCGCACCTGATATTGGAACTCCTGAAATGCGAGCCTGACGAGCCGCAAGTCCAAGCGAAGATCATGGCCTACCTGCAGCAAGAGCAAGCCAACAGAGGCAAGCACGAGAAGCTCAACACGTTTGGGCTCATGTGCAAAATGGCCGACCAAACGCTCTTCTCTATCGTCGAGTGGGCTAGGAGTAGCATCTTTTTTAGAGAACTTAAGGTAGGTAACGACCTTACATTATCACTCTATCAAGAAAAATACTACATTTGCTGTAATGTTGTATTTTAAGCAAGAAAGATTTTTTTTCAACTATGCATCTCATGCTTAATTTATTTGATTTGATGTAGGTGGATTATGAGGAGAAACTTGTAGCCGTTTTCCATCTAAGGTGGTTATAAGCTGTATCAAAGAGATTCAAGCTTCAGTTCAGCTCTTTTGTATTTTATTATTTATCACAACTGTTATTAACTTCCACAGAGCCTAGCATGAATTTTGCTCCTCACTGGCAGGCTGCTATTCTGAGTTCTCAGCAGGCACGTCATGCCAGTTTACACAGTAGTCACACACTTATCCTATTATTCCAAGCAACACATGTATGAAACCAATGTTTGTGTATATTTCCTACATAATCCCATATTTGTGATATTAACATTCTCACCCAAATATTATTGTGTTAATTTATTAATTTTACATATATTTAACCATAAATGATGAACCCCAAGAAATGTATAGGCAGAAGAGAAAGCAAGGAGGGAGCAAGGAGAAGACCTCAGGGACTCCCTTTTGTTCTCATCATCACTGATGCACCAGGGATTCCCTTCATCTATGCTGGTCACAGTGACCATTTAGGCTGTTCCTCATTGGAGCACTAGTGAGTTGGGTCACCCACTGAACTTAGAAGCACAGGTCACTGGCGGCCAGAAATTCCCTCACAGATATTTCTCAGATTGTTTTTTAGGACAATTTTGCTGTCTGGTGTGGACATGTCTGACACAGAAGTATTAAGATGGGAATTTAGGATTAGATATTAGAGAGAGACTACGGTGGTCAGCCACTGTCTTGATACAGAAGTTAGCTCTGGACTGATTTAAAAACATTTCTGCCTCAAAAAAAAACCCCAAAACTGCCTAATGAATTCAAATCACATCTGAATTTCCCTATTGTATTGCTAGTTACTGAATCTCCCCATGCTGCCCAGAGATGATGTTGCCTCAACCTTTTTCTGCTGACCCACCCATAACTTCTTGCCAACTCCTGTCTAGCTAAGAGGAAGCAAGACAGCACCCAAACAGAATACCTATCATAGGATTTCGCTGAAAATATAAGGAAACAGAGAGCACAGCAGAGAGACCTCCTCTAACGAGCTGTAGCCAGGATGCCCGCCACAAAAGTATTTCTGACATAACCGCAATGATACCAAGAAATGTGTAATAAAGCCTGATTACAGGAAAAGCAAGGTAACATTCATTGTGCTGCATATACAACTCCAGCTTCTCTCAGATTTTTCATTATAACAGGTGCGGGAATCATTAAGAACTCAGCCCACATATAGAGAAAGAAAGGAGGAAGTTTACTTCGAGAGGAAAGAGAAGACATTAAAGGGAGGAAAAGATTATCACATCTTTGTTTGCCTTATAAGTTGTTTATGATTTCATAGTAACCCATGCTCCTCATTTTAAATAATTTGAAGATTAAAATTTCAAACAACAAAAAAAAATCCAGGAAACCATGTCCTAACAAACAGGGACCAGGTCCTTCTACCTAAACACTGGGGAGTATTTTAGCCTGCAAGTAGTCCTGTCAAAAATCACTACAAATTGCAGAGTAAGATGTTCAGTATAAGAATTTTTAAGTTATCATGATCTTCCTTAAAATGCCAGTTGTGATTAAAGTGATAATATGAAAAGATATTTAAGCAATATTCACTTTTTAGAGTCGCACGGCTTAGCAAAGAGTTCGCAAGCATGCAAAATGCTCTGCTGGGGATAGTTTAGGTGATAGTCTTCACCTCCTACCCCAACCCTGCAGATATTCTTCAAGATATATTTTTACTAGTGCAGACATAGAAGATGTAAACATTCAAAAGTATTGACCAACATCTCCAGGCTTTAGAAGTATACATGTAATTCTCTGCATATACAGACTTCTGGAAATACTTTCACATTCTGGAAATTCATGGCACTCAGGCTTTGTCTATGAACTACTCTTTTTCCACATATGTTTTCAAAAGGCACCTGCTTCATCTTAATATTTGTACCATTTTAATCTTAGGACCATATATTTAAGATAGTTTTAAATCTTCTGTCATACTCGGATCTTTCTTGAGTTGGAGAAGATCTACTAACCACATGGCATTCATGAGCCATATCAACAGACTTGGAAATCTATCTACATCTAGTATTTAGGGAACATATTAAACAACATTATGAAGCTCTTCAAAAGAATCTGAGGTGCTCAAAACTTGTTTAGATCAGACCTTACATTGTCAACAGCAAAGGAGGCCTCAGCACTAAAGCATCTGATAACAAAATCTTGCTTTGCAGTTCAGAGGAGAGAACCGGAATCAACCAAAGCTTGTGTTGCTGTGAGGTTTCCATACCTTTCCTGGGCACAACCATCTTTCGTCAGTCCGTGGTGTCAGCTCCTCTCAGTCAAGGCAGGAAAAGTAGCTCTCTGAATCCTTCACAAAGCGTAGAACCTTTGGTGGGGGAAAAATAGGACCTTAGAATATGACGGGGATTTTGAATACAGACATAAAGGAAGAGGCAATTGTAAGAAAAAAAAAAAGCAGATGTGCTAGCTATACGTAGCAGAGAAGTATGTACTGGTTTACAAAGATATTTTCCTATTCCTATTCCTATTTATTCCTACTTGTCTAAGCTTAAAGACTGATTCAGAGATCACTTCCGGGTGAGATACGTGCTTTAGAAGATCCCCAAAATTAAAATTTCACTTTTGAAAAGCAACTTACACAAGCAATAAAACAATACAAGTGAAAACAAAGGTGGTTTGTAGGAAATCAGCAAGGATTTTGTCATTATAGGTCGTTCCTTGAACAACTAGGTGCGAGTTACTGAACAGCATGTTTGCAAAATCTTTACCCATTCGCTTTATGCAAAATCTTTCTTACACATTACTTCTAAAACTATTCTTACACATTTCATTTCTCTCTTCGGTTCATATAAAAGGAAAAACAGTTTCCTGTCTCCTACACCTAGGGATCTGGGACCTAGAATTTTTCAGGAGGGACTGAAAAGGAGGGCGGCATGAAGAAAAAATGCTGTCCGTCCCATCAGTGGTTTAGGTTTTATTTATCTTAGTGATCAGAGACTATTAAAAAAATTCCATGAATTAATTTTTAAAGTTTCCTCTTTTTCTTCCAATATGGTTGACATTTTTTTTAAGTGTTCTCAAATGATAACAAACACATTTTGAAACTTTAATCCATGAAGTTTATCTGTTCATGCATTATCACCATTTTCTCACCTGTTGTTCCGCCAAATTGCCAACACCTTTTTGGAGCTGTTACACATGTTAGCGCATACAAAGTAAAAACATTGACTGTGTGGAACTAACTACAGCACATTTCGCATAACCCAAAATTATATATCAATTTAAAAGTATATGATTTCTTAAGGCTAATATTGACACTTGCTAATGAACAGATCTTTGTACCTTTAGACTGGTTTTCAGAAATGAATGGAAATGGATGAGGCAAAATAGTCACAATGAATAACAATATCAGAGTGAGATCCTAAGCAGGCAGCTGCAGTCTGGTTACCTTGATTTCAGCATCTGCCTATTATCTCAAACACACATATCTGCCTTTGAAATTCAGGATGTTTTGTAGGGACATCAGTAATTCTACTTTTGACATTACATATTACTTGTTTATTCATACTGAGAAATGTTCTATATGTTTCTTTATACATGTGAAATAAGAATACAGAGATAACCTCCTAGTAGACTCCTGATAATAGTAATAGCAAAGCTGCCTTTTGTTTGCTATTCTGGAGTTGCTGAAAGCTCAGTAAATATGAAAGTAAGATTATATCCATCTTATCCTCAACTATGAAAACTCAGGAATGCCCTGGGGATGCTAGATTTGTAGCCAGCTGTCCTAGTCAGGTGAAAAGGTCTTTGTACAAAGCTAAAAAGAAAATATTGCAAGAGTTTCTAGGGTCCAAAGGTTTCCTGGCCCCAAGAAAAGATGCAGACAGTGCCAGCAGACCTGTCTTTCCTCATCAGCTCACATCGGGGAATATTCAAGAGCTATTTCCAGAGTTAAGTATTCCTCAGCCCATAAAGGGAAGCAGTCCCTGCCCGGAGCAGGGAGACAACAGAACCTGCACCAGAGAAGAGCCCTGAGGTTGCTCCTTCCTGGCTGAGGATCAGAAAATTAACTGCGTGATGGTAGTTCCAGAAAAGGCACTAAAGGAGTCACGAGTCACACAAAGTATTACCTTAACTTCTTTGGCTATTTTAGCGAGGGTGTCATAGGTCAAAGTACTACGTGAGCACAAGCCCATTTAGTGAATGATTGCAGGAAGAGGCGGCCTATCTCACGGTAAAGCAGCTCATCCTAAAACTATGCACCGAGTTTGCAAATTGATTTGGACCATTCATTGCTGTCAGACTGCATCATTTCTGGCATAGACTGCTCCCGATAAGTATAAATTGTGCCATGCTCACATAAGGGGTAAAATGCCGTTCAGAGAAGCAATGAGTCTGTACAACTTCTGCCACACACCGCAACAGATTCCCTATAAACTATAGGGAGTTCATACAGGAAACTATATTAAGCTATATTAAGAGAAATTAAAACTGTTTCTTAAAGCAGTGCAAATTTAGTGAGAATAGGATCAACTAAACTGATGGAGTCTGTATTTTTCCTATAAAATGCATTAAGATATATATAGTAAAATAAGTCTCTATACATGAAAATTAATTTCAAAATTCAATCTCTGTACAACTAAATATCAAGAAATGAACAACAAAAAGCACACAGAGAATTGCAGTACAAAAATCCAGTTAAACTGGATTAATACAGATTAGGAAAAAAATCTATTTCTGAAACAAACAAACAAACAGTAGTAGAACATCTTTAAAAACCTTCCTTGGGGTGACAAAAGGTTGATATATTATTTAGGCTTAAGTAATCAAAGGCAATTTGATAACCTGAAGTTCTTTGGACTTTGTAGCATGCATTTATCAGGATA